CGAAGTTATTTTTTTTTTTTTTTTTTTTTTTTTTTTTTTTTTTTTTTTCGTTATAGTCACTTTAACACTCTTGGGTCATTCGTGACTTGTCCAGGGGTGAGATTTGAACTCGTGACTTTGGCGTGAGAGGTATGGATGTTAACCACTACGCCGGGGTCGCCCCCATTTCGAAGTTAAACAACCCAATTACCGATGGAAATTGGCATGAAGTTCAATGAAAATTGCTTTACTTTACGTTGTGAAAAATCCTTATTCTGATTTAAACAAACGGTTTGGCTGACGTGTCCTCTCGAGCTCGCCTAGCGCCCTCTGCATTGGGGGTAAAAAAAAACATCAACACAAAAAAAAAAAAAAAACGCTTTATATTATAAAACGGAAGTCCGCGCTACAATCTTTTGGAACATTTTTACGTTAGGAAACCGATGAGGTGCATAACGCCACGCGGCACACCAGTCAGGTGATAGGGTCCGGAATGCGCTAGGTAAGCAGAATTCAAGCTGAACATTGCATTAGGTCCCAAGTAACATTGAGAGATTCTATTCGTCGACCTTCTCTTTGTATCCCCACAGCCATTCCCAGGTATTTTCAGCACACAGATTGATAAAAGAAGCTTATATCTAGCATCTAATACGACAATTACAACAAGAAATGGGTATGTGTTCAAGTTATTAATGAAAGAGAAAGTCGACGAAGAGAATCGATCAATGTTACTTAGGACCTAATGCAATGTTCAGCTTGAGCGGCACGCAACGTGGCTCGCTCTTTTTCTTTATCCAGCAGTTTGTGAAGCAGGTTTAATTTGTAAGTAAATAAAAGTGTGTGTTAAGTAGTTTAGTTTTTAAAAAGCTAAAACGGTATCCAAGATCCTTAAGTCTTGGACGCCATTTTGAAAATTTTACAAGATCTAAAATGGCAGAATTATCGAAAAAAAATGAATCATTTTCCATAACAACCAATTAAGCGTATTTTCATACAAACCGGAGAAGTTCGATTCAAAAATTAATTTTTTTGCTCGCTGCTCGCTGCTTCACCGGTGTCGGTAATTGGCACTACATACGGTACAGAGACCGACGAAAAATAATCTAGATTAAAAGTAGAAGGGTCTGTGCCTAGGGGCACGAACGGAAGCTTGACGTAGGACCGCTATGTGAAGAGCATTTAGTTCTTTTAATTGATTAATTATCTATTATCTCAACTCTTTCCGTTTTTGAATTGTAGGCGTACCAAATTTGTAGTAATTTTTTTCAAAGAGAAAGTTGATTAAGAGAATCAATCAAAATCACTTGCACCCCTGCTTCCAAGTTTGGCTACAAGATTACAACTCTGGAGAGGATTTTGTGTGGTCGTTGGGGGCTTGTGGTTCTGATTATGGACAAACAAGCACAGATAAATTCTATTCCAACTCTTTACTGATGTAAGCTTGATGACCCTGAAAAGGGCCGTTTTATTGAAGAGGACATCCATGGCCACTTACGCTTGGCGTGTTTAGTGTAGGTGACAGCATCACGGACCTCATTTTCCAGGAACACCTTCAGCACACCTCGTAGATCACCACCATGGCGAGCCAGACGACCGATGGCGGTTATCTCGAAGAACTTTGCGATGACGCTTGGCGCCTTCTTTACCAGACCTTTTCCTCATTTGCCACGACCAGTCAATTGTTGCTTGTTAAGTGTGAAGGAGTGGACTAGCCACCACCTTCCTACTGCTGCTATTGCTGTTCACCACGCCGTCCGAAGCGAAAATGAGCTAATGCCTTTTTTTTTTACTTTAAATGATCTATATTTCCTGAATTTGTGTGGTTTACATTTATAACTTATCAAGTGACACAGATACGAAAATCCTGGAAAAACCTGGGAAAACATGAGGCAAATTTACTCATCGCTGAGTTCCTGCACTTTATTTCTTATTTCTGAGATAACTAAACTCAAATTTGGGTCGTTCTCATTCGCCGTGATATCACCTTGAAAGATATCGGCGCCGGTGGTTAGCGTGATTACCTCTCACCCCAGCAGGCCTGGGTCCAATCTCAGTCGGCGCCACCGGCATGTTCTAAGGCATAACATCTCTGATCACGCCTTCCTTCGGGAAGTAAAGCCGTTGGTCCCTGGTTGAGTTGATGGGTCGATTGGTAGGGTCCAGGGGTGGAAGCTGCCTCCCTGGTGTCGGTAGCATTGGAGCTCAGTACGGAAAACAAATCTCGCGTCACTTTTCAATAGGTCCTATCTACATTGATCGATTTTCTTCATCGACACTCTCTTTCGTAAATAACTCGGCTTCACAAATATTTCCTGCCGTCTTCGTCGAATTAGATGCTAGATTGTTGCTTATTCCATCGAAAATATCCGGCCGGGGCGATTCAAAGTTGATCAAGGTTGATCAAAATAATGTGTACCCCTGCTTCCAGTTTGATTACATGAGCATTTTGTGTGGTCGTTGGCTCTGAATATGGACAAACAGGCAGATTGAATTCTATTCCTACCCTTTACTATAATAAGCTTGGTGGCCCTGAAAAAAGCCGTTTTGTTGCCAAAGTTGGTGATGATTTAACCTCCGAAACAAAACAGAGTGCGTCTCTGTCACTTCAAAACGTAGATGAAATCCATGGCCGCTTACGCTTGGCGTGTTTAGTGTAGGTGACAGCATCACGGATCTCATTTTTCAGGAACACCTTCAGCACACCTCGTAAATCAGACCGGACATACGTCATTCACCGCCACGGCGAGCCAGACGATGGATGGTAGTTATCTCGAAGAATTTGCGTTTGGTTCTGAATATGGCTATGAGTGTGCAAAATATTACACAATTCCATCCTCCCTATTCGCACGCGCCCGAGGATCGGAGGCGAATGCCACTTCGACTTGTTTCGTCTACTTACTACTCTCTGACGACTGTGCTGGGGAAGCAGCATATGCATGTAGGTAATTGGTGGATTTGTTAGTTAATTCCACGTATTTGGACAATGCTGGACATTTACCAGTTTTTCAATAGTTTCTTGTTGAAAATCAACATTCGCAAGCATTGTTATCGATGCGTAGCCATATTTCTGATCGATTGGTGATAAAATTATTGAAATTGGAACAGGGGCAGCTGAGCTACCAACGTTCAAAATCTTTCTTAATTTGTTACATGTTCCATTTTCGGTTTTCACAAAGTTACCCCCATATAGAAATCAAAGACGTAGTCCTACGTCAAAAAAAAAGTTGCCTTCCTTTATTTCTCTGAAATGACAAAATGGTGCGCTCTACAAAGTTCAGAGTGAGTCCCTTGCAGTTGATCTTTATCATGAATGAATAAATAAAAAAAAAAACTTTGACTGCTTTCAGAGTAAAACCAATGCCATGCATTAGTAAAATTGTAGTGATTACCCGACCTGCCGCAGGTGAATCAATAATAGATAAACTTGCTCCCTTTCCACATGTGAGAATCAGTGGAGAAATCAAAGTGCAGGGGAAAACAGTCAATAATGAACCCCTGGAGTAAAATGGCCCCACGCGGTTTTTCGCATTGACGGAGTGCAGCGATGAATTCTAGTGCATCTGCACTGATGAAAGTTTGACAGGATAGGTGGGCGTTGTTTTCTAAAAATGAACGTTTTATGCTAAATTACGTACCGCACTAGCAATACTGCTCGTCAAGTCCACGAATTGAGAATGGGAAGGCTATATAAAAAAACACGCGGTGCCATTTTGCCCCACGGTTGCATTATGGACTATCCTCGGGACTTTCCCGTATTCAAATCGAGTAAAGTTGAGTTGGTTTAATCGATTTGTGCTTTGGCTGTTTTGCATGAATTACATATTCATTATGTGATCTATTTGGGAGTATGGAATTATGCGTTGTATTGAATCAACATATTTAAACTATTTCAAGCGTAACTATTCAAATCGACATATCTGATTTTGTCAACAATCACTTCAATCGACGATTTGGGGCAACTGCTATAGCTCACTCACAGAAACTAACAACACCCATCTAGTAGTAAAGCCCTCTAGTAAAAGTATGGACGACTGTCACCACAAAACTGTTCCAATCGAGCAAAGCAGTGCATTTTGACGGTTGGATTGGAACAACTTTCCACAGACGTCCATACTTTTACTTAGAGAGAGGACTTTAGCTAGTAGGGGAACAATTCCCCTACCTGATGATGGTGTTTGTTTGCGTAGGTGAGTTAGCAGCTAAGACAAATCGTCGATTGAAGTGCTTGTTTTCAAAAGCAGATACGTCAGTTTGAATAGCTACGCTTGGTTTGACAAATCTTATTGGTGCTTCGGAAACGAGATGATTGGAAAAATGGTGCCTTGTCATCGAGTGCATCGAAGCCGAGATCGAAGAATGACTGCCACTCAACAAATTGCTCGTATCCAAGGTGATAGAGAATAACCTCGACAATCACAAAACAAACAAAAATAGTTACTTCGTTCCAGTGATGGATCGCTCTTTTTGGACTTTTTCATTCCTTTTAGTATATAGTATATAACGTAAATCCAGTTGAATTTTAAGATAAGCCATCGTCAAATAGATAGGGGAAATGTCGGCTTCGGCAATACCTTAACCTATTATCGTCAGGAGGGCAAACAAAGTCCTAGAGAACTCAAATATGGCCAATAGATACTCTGAAACACAATGTATCCACATGCCAAAATTGAGCTCTCAATTACGTTGTTTACCCCCTGACGATAATAAAATGAGGTATTGCAGAAGCCATCATTTACCTAGTTTAATGCTATTAATTTCCTCATCAATATGAATCTCTGTTTTCACTGAAAGTGCACTCGAGAACGCTCTCAAGAGCACCCTCACCCTCAGTGAAAACACAGAGTGTGGCTCTGCGGTGCGGAAATTTTGAATTTTCATAGGGACGTAATAGCACTTAGCATATCAATTTTAAGATAGGTTAACTAAAATTCAATTGGATTTAACGTAAGCATTCTATAAATAAAAAGTAATGAAAAAGTCCCAAAAGAGCGATCAATCGCTGACTTCGTTCAAACACTCACGTCAAGGTTCCACACTTCCCGTAGACATCCACCTCCATCAGCCGTTGAATTTCACGCACCAGATCGTCCCGTTTGGAAATGGTCCCACAGTGTGACACAAATTGCACCCCCATTTTGCTCTTCTCCATCGCCATCTCCAGCAACGTTTCGTTGTAGTACTCATCAAAGTCCGTCCGCCACTGAGGCCGGTCGCTGGGACCTACCACCAGCCCCGTTTCCACATCGACAAAGTTGTTGTAGTTCCAAACGACCTCCGAATCCAACCGGTACGTCATGGTCCAGTTGAAGAAGTCGTGATCCCCGGCCAACAGATGCTTGGTATGTGCAGGGGATTCCATGTTTGCCGCCACGTAGATTTGCCGAGGGGATCGCAGCTTGGGCACCTTTTCAAACAATGAGTACGCCCATGGTTCGGCTATGTGGAATACCAGTGCATCGTAGTCGGTTATGGCCGGTAGTAGTTCCCGGTTATTGGTCAGGACGCAATCTTTTTCCGGACAATGGATCGACTGGAAGTAATCCGGTCCGACGGTTTCCGCCGTTAGTTTCCAGTTCTTCACATCGAAAAAGTTGGTATACAGTAGGACGTATTTGGAACGATCTTCCGTTTGGCGTTGACGAATGTGATCTTCCAGGATCGAGTAGTAACTGATGGATGGTTTGAGGCACTGAGTGTGAATTAAGAAACTGCCTGCCACCAGCAGACAAAGTAACCCCAACGTCACGTACAGCACCAGTCGATTTCGTTTCATTTTCCTAATCATGCCCATGTGCTTACCGCGATAGGACCGATATGACGAAATGGACAGAAGGCACTAAGGTAGTTAAAAATTTCACTGATAAGGCACTTGATCGTTACATTGTTAGTTCGTTCGCGCACCGCCAATTTCACATGGAGAGCTATCAATCCAAACTAAGATCCGATTGGTAATGCACTAATGACATGGCACGCAGTTCAGAACCGAACGAACTTGCCTTATCTTTGTAGCAAGTGTGTTGGTGTAAAAATCATGTAGCCATCTCAATACTGACGGACGGAAACAGAAATGAATCACACTTTTCACACCTTGATGGTGCTGCTCTCCCGGCAGAAGGTAACTACGACTGAGTTGCGAGCGCACCTTTTTCTATGTGTCGATAATGCTCGTTTGATTTCAGCAGTGGTGAGCTTTGTTAAAGGGCGGCTGCGGCGCCGCTGAAACCAATCAAGTAGGCAGCGGTGAGGGAACGTGCGAGACGGAAGGCTTTTCCTCACGGCTTGCTGAGAATCAACCGTAGGGGAAGCGAATATGTGCGCCATTTTTCTCGTAGAAGGGTGATGTAATTTTTTGTACTTAGCATGTTAGCATCAATAATCAGTAATGAGGTAAAATTGGTCGCTTGAGTACTGGGTGCTGGAGATGCAAATCAGAGTGAATACTTACTGCGAATGATGTATTTATTACAGTAATAGCTTGGAAGCAGTTTGATAAAGTATGTTTACAAACGTTCTAGGTATTTACGAGTGACTGCTGCAATTTCACGAATATTTTTGTTCTGTTGTCAATTTCCAGTTGCGTTGAATATAAACAAATATAATAATCGGGATACTCCAATGAGTAATTAGCTGCAATGGCTAAGAGAACCTTGCTTCGATATTTGGATAAGCAAGCAGAAATTGGTCGACTGGAGCTTTGCCCGATGGACAACTTCAATACTGTTTTCACTACAAAACATGAAGGAGATCTAGCGAAACACATCATCCGGTTGGCGAATTCCGCATTTGGATTAACACACAAGGATATCAGGGCGGCAGAAAAACTGAAAATCTAGCACCCGTTCAAACGGGAACAAGGATTAGCTGGAGCAGATTGACAGCAAGACATCCGGAGCTCACTCTGCGGAAAGCGAAAAACACATCCCTGGCTCGGACTAAAGGATTCAAAAAGGAGGCTGTAAACTCATTCTATCAGCTCCTTCGAAGGATTTACATTGAATTCAATTATTCCCCGGGCCAAATTGGGACTTTTGAAGCAACAGGTTTCAGTACAATACGGTAACTGTGATTGCTTCTGTGCACGTGGTACTAAAGTTTAACTTTTCTTAAGGTTCAAAATAATTCCTGGAAAGGGTTTGCCAAAAGAGGTCTGCTTCAGGTTGCCGGAATTTCATCAGGTTAGAGAGGTACAAACACGACAGTAATTTTGACTATGTCCGGCTCAGGCAACTTTGTACCTCCTGCTTTTGTGTTTCCGCGAGCTAGAGTGAACGATAACCTCAAAGTTGGTGATCCAGAAAACTCTGTTTCTGTACCATCCCAGCGGATGGAGCAACTCCAACACCTCTTCATTGTGGTTTGAACACTTCCTGCAGGACGTAAAACCTTCTCCTGAACAACCAGCATTATTCATCCTGGATAAATTACCAAGGTGTGTGTAGATAGGTGGTCAATGATATTCACACTCCTCTTCAATGATCACCGCAGAAAGTCATCCGATGAGTCCAGTATGCACCAACATCGGTCTCACCCAACGGTTTTGTTAGTGCATCAGCTATCATCATCTCTGATGGACAGAACTCCAATTTCACAACACCCTAATCTGCCAAATCCTCCATGAAGTGCTGCTTTGTATCAATGTGTTTGGATATCTTGCTTGTTCATTCCGCCTTGTTGAGACTCAAGCAGCTTTGATTGTCCTCGTAGACTGTTGTACGCTGCTGAACTTGCCCAAGATCCTCCATCAATCGACGCAGCCAGATTAGCTCCTGAAACGCCTCGCTTAATGCCACATATTCCGCTTGCATAGAAGACAAACTTACATAGGATTGTTTGTGGCTCACTCATGTAATCGGTCCAGCTCCGAAGAAGCTTGGTCGCCTGCCCAGTCTGCATCGGAGTAGCCTTCGAGTATCCATCGTTTTCTAGGTCCAAATTCTAGCTTAAGGTCTGTTCGCTTTAGGTATCTGACTACCCGCTTCGCCGCTTTCCAATCTATTTCTGAAGGATTACTCACTTTTCTTCCAAGAAGAGATACACTGACTGCCACATCTGGTCTAGCATTTATCGCCACGTAAAGGAGGGCACCTACTAAGCTGCGGTACCGAGTAACATCTTCAAACGGCTTGCTGTTGTTATCCGACTTGACGTAGCTGGGATCCATCGGTGATTTAGAAGGGTTGCAGTCGTTGAGACCAAACTTCTCGATCAAGGCATCGATGTAACTTGTCAAACGTAGACTGTAGAATCTTCCATTGCATCGCACCTCATGATCAAGAAAATGCTTCACCTTTCCAAGGTTTGTAACATTGAACTCCTTCCGAAGTGTCGTCGACGTATACAAGAAGATATACCGTCTTTGAACCATCACGTCGAACATACAAACAGGAATCTGTTTCACATTGATTCCAGCCATAGATGAGGCCATAGATGCTCCTCCTGAGTCGGCACACCATGTTCTCACTACCGGTGGCTTCATATCCGGGGAGCTGTCGCATGTAGATCTCCTCTTCGGTGGTAGCGTCTAGGTACGCCGTTCTAACATCCATGTGTCGCAGTACAATCCGTTTCTTTCCTGCTACTGCCAGAAGCGCCCGTAGAGTTTCCTGCCGCATTACCGGAGCGAACACATCGACGTAATCGACACCGTAACATTGATTGAAGCCCTGCGCAACCAGTCTAGCCTAATGCTTCACGACTTCGCCACTTTCGTTATGCTTTGGCGTGAACACCCACCGTGACCCAATAACTTTTCTTCCTTCCGGTAGATGCCCCAGGTTTCATGTTATGTGATCCGATTTCCAAATCCATAGCTTCCTTCCTTTTCGGAATCTCCAACGCCTTCCGGTAATCCGTTGAGAAAACTCAGTGATACCCACAACAAAATTGTCATACCGGTGTGGTAGAACACCTCTAGTTCTTCTTTGATTATGCTGCAATGTTTACTCCTCCTCTCGGCGATCACCTTCATCACTGAAACCTTGACGTATCATCCGCAGAACTCCAACCTTAGAATTCATCCGAAGAATCATCATTGTCTACAGCGTCAGCGGTTTGATCGGGATAACAACGGAATCATCCAACTCCTCTGACACAACCTCGGATTTCCGTTCACCCATTTGTTCCGATCCATTACCAAGCTCAATGAACCTCGCATCTCTACGGATGGTCAACAGAAGGCTCAAGCAATACCTGGAGTCTAAGGGACTGCTTGACCATCGACAGCACGCCTTCAGGCAAGGGTACGGTACCTCCACCTACTTCGCCACTCTTGGAGAAGTCCTGAAGAAGGCACAGGACCAAGGCCATCATACGGAGATCGTCTCGCTGGACATCTCCAAAGCATTCAACAGAACGTGGACACCAGCAGCAATGAAGAAGTTAGCCGAATGGGGACTAAAAGGACGCATCCTACACTTCGTCCGAAACTTTCTGACCGACCGATCTTTTCGGGTGTCGGTCGGAAACGTCCAATCCAGAAGGTTCAGCGAAGAAACCGGAGTACCACAGGGTTCAGTGATCGCGGGCACCCTCTTCCTGGTGGCCATGAACGGGGTCTTCGACAAGCTACCCAAGAACATATATATTTTCGTCTACGCGGATGACGTCCTCATTGTAACGGTGGGCCCCACCCTGCAGAGGACGAAATTAAGGGCGCAAGCGGCAGTCTCCTCGGTGGTCAGATGGGCTGACTCCGTTGGGTTCCAGCTTTCCGCCGGCAAGAGCGTGCGCTGCCATATATGCACCACCCGGCATCGGAACAACGGACTGCCCATCATGATCAAACAGCAAGCGATACCGACCAAAAACACAATAAGGGTCCTGGGAGTGCTCTTCGATCGGAACCTATCCCTCGAGCCGCACTTCCAACAGGTGAAGAAGGACTGTCGTAGTCGATCCAACCTGATGAAGACCATCTCCCGCCCTCACCGATCCAACAACCGTGAAATCCGCTTCCGAGTAGCCCGAGCCATCATCGACAGTCGCCTATTGTACGGCGTAGAACTAACGTGCCTTGCCGCCGAGAAAGCCATCCAAATCTTGGAACCGGTCTACAACGGATACGTAAGAACAGTCTCCGGTCTCCTGCCCTCCACCCCGGCCGACGCCGCGTGCGTTGAAGCCGGTATTCTGCCTTTTCGGCTCGTCTACACCGCAGCTACCGCTACCAAAGCCGCTGCCTTCCTCGCTAAAACGTCGGGAAACAGCAGGATCTTTCTCCTCGACGAGGCGAACCGACTCCTCCGTACGGTCGCCGACGTAGATCTCCCTCCAGTGGCCAGGGTCCATCACTGGCACGGAGACAAAAGTTGGCAATCACATCAGATCAGAATCGACAGCCGAATCAAGGACCGCTTCAGGGCAGGAGACAACTCACTGGCTTTGCGCCGGACAGTCGTCGAAACTCTCGGGGCGCACTATCAAGATCACGAAATCAGGTACACCGATGGCTCGCTCTCCAGCAGCGGAGTGGGAATGGGGGTTTCAGGAGATAGTTTGGTCGTCAGCAATTCACTTCCGGCCCAGTGCTCGGTGTTTTCCGCTGAGGCAGCGGCCGTCTTTCACGCAACCACCCTTCCGGCCAATCGGCCGATCCTCATCGTTACCGACTCACAAAGCGCAATAATGGCCCTAACCGATGAAGCACCAAAGCATCCGTGGATACAAGGGACGGTAACGCATGCGCCGCCCAACACCGTATACATGTGGGTACCCGGGCACTGTGGCATCCAGGGGAACGTGATCGCCGACCACCTCGCCGGCTCAGGCCCCATCGGACCCAGGTTCTCTGACAATGTTCCGTTCCAGGACATCAAGAAATGGATCAAGCGGACGGTTCGGAGAGCGTGGGACAACGAGTGGAG